TGATTCGTCGTCTCTCCGTCTACACTCCTCATCCTTTTCCCTCTCATTTTGGGCCGCCTGACATTTGAACATTCCTTCTGATTGGTTAATCGATTCTTTCTCTTACTAATCGATTTCCCACATCATCCTTGAGGAAGAAGAAGACATTGTAAGAAGGAAGCAAAAACTATGAATAATGATAGAGATTTAGGTGAATAAGGAAGCATAAACTATGAATAATGATAGAGATCTTGAGAAAATTGGTGTGAGATTTGTGAGGATCGATGGTGGATTATATGGAGGATTCAGAAAGAATTAGGTTGTAGATAATGCCACGTGGCATTCCGTCATTCGTTAAAAATCTGATGGAAATCTATCCTCAAAGATTGTAAACATATTATGACATGTGGCGCGATGTGATTGGTTAATAATCTTATCGGAAATCCATCATCAATAATTGTATTTTTTGGATAATGACATGTGGTGCAACGAGAACGATTAAAAATCTTATCGGAAATCCATCACCAATAATTGTCTTTTTTGGATTATGACACGTGGCGTAACGAGAACGATTAAAAATCTTATCCGAAATTACAAATAAAATTATTTTGTATTATTTTATAACTTTTCGGATTATGACACAACGAGAACGATTAAAAATCTTATCCGAAATTACAAATAAAATTATTTTGTATTATTTTATAAATAAATAAAATACGAATATTTTATTACCTATTACCAGGGGAAGGGCTCCCACACTACTGTTCACTAGGTGGATTGAATAGTGAATTGCTTGGAGGGAGGGCTCCCACTCTGGAACTGCTCTTATATACATAGTAATTTGTATAAAAATGATTCGAACTTGAATACAAAGGATCACACACTGCCATAATCAACTGACTCAACTCATATTTATTATAATATTTTAAGCACTTAATGCAAGACTTTAATCTCTTAGTTCGATCGCTCTCACTACTAATTAGAACAAGAGAAATATGAAAGATGATACATGCTTTGCCATAATATGTGCATAGAAGAAGGAAAGCGATAGTTACATTGCATAGAAAAAGTACTAATGCAACATTTGCCGACAGTTTGCCAATCCCTTATCCAACGTAAAACTCGTGTCAAACGTCAGAGCTTACCTTTCTTGACGTTCTCGTTGTCACCATTGCAATTGGTGTTATATCATTTTCATCATGAAATTATTAGAAAGACGACTCACGTTTTGCATCACAATCAAAATTATAACGATAGAAATCAATCAGCAATATGCAAAGTAGCAATGCAAGTTTCCTTTGCCTCTCGCTATATGTGATTTAGCTCCCAACACATATAACCTTGCATTATTTGTACCAAGAAGTTATCATATATTGTAAGCAGAATAGAATCTCACATCTGGTATATGACAAAATAACATATAATTAATATATGGGAGATTCTACAACTGCTAACACCAAACCCTATTATGACAAACCTTACATGCAGCGATAGGTAATTAAGTAAAGACAATACCGATGATGCTGGTGATAATTGAACCCAGTAAGCTAGAGATGAGGAGATATGGTAATTAATACAACTTTTTGATCCTAATACTCGTGGGTTAGCTAGATTTATATATATGATCTCGAAGAAAGTTCAGATTTCATCGCATTGATAGTAAAAACAATGCACCAAACCTTCCACAAACACGTCGAAAACAAGTGGCTGATCGAGGCTGATATCATGTCGGAGTTTGCAAGTTAAGGCTAAAAATACATGTTCCAGAAGTTTCACTCAAAACTGCAGGCATCAGTTGGGCTAATTGCAAGCATTATTTGCTTTGTGATGACTGGATATGTGTAACCAAACAAAATCCAGATGCTCTCTCTTTTATTTATTCCTACTCCGATCCCAACTTTTCAAACCCACAACCACAACATCTCTGAGGGCTGGTGATGCTGTGGGTCATGTGAAAGTGAATTTTTCTTTTACAGATTTTCTTATGTGCGCATGATCTGAATTGATGACATATCACTACTATATATATTATTAATATGGTCAGAGGTGGAACCAGGATCGTTTTTTAATATGGTGGAGTTACGGTGTCAATACTTTATTTACATGGATCGTGCGCAAATTATGCACACAATTCATATGCACAAATGAGTAAATCATAAAAAACTTATATTTAACGCATTTCATTATTGAAACAAAGCATCATCATAACGATAGTATATCATACACGTTCTTATCACGGAGACGTGTGCGGTTGGCAATTAATCAAACTCATCCGAAAAAGAGAAGGAAAAAAACAAAAACAAAAACTGAGCATCAAAAATAGGAACTCAGTGTGTCCATGAAAATAAAATAGGAAGCAGTCTGGCTTGGAGCTGAGTCAGCACCGCAAAGAATTGCTTGGCTTCCTGAATTATTTACCAGTTGCGACGCCACGCCAATCCAAACATCCATTCCAATATCCCAAAACAAGATACAATGATTGAATAACTTCTGAATAAAAATAAAAAGAGAAGAGAAATGGGTTTTTTGTGGTTGATGGAATTTGGAATGAGGTGGCTGCCTAGTATTCCATGTAAACCAAGACCACCACCCAACTCAACTTAAAATCTATTATTACGCTGGATAAATGAGTCGTGTTTGTCGTGTTTATGTTGTTTTTGTGTCATATTTGTTATTTTAACGGATCTTGTCGTGTCAAACATGTTATCTTAACGGGTTCTTAACAAATGACCCCGTAACTACGCAATTTGTTAATGGGTCGCGTCAGGTTAACTGTCATGCAAGAAATTGATATGCTTAGTATCTAAATCAAGCAAACGATATCGTATCGGGTGAATCGGTAACAACCCGACTAGTTAACAGGTCTTAACGGGTGACCCGATAACAACCAGACTCCTTAACAGATTAATTCGAAACATATTATATTTGTGTCAAGTTAACGGTTCATTCAAGAAATTGCTCAATCTATATATGACTACTTGACTGAGCTCTCTGTCAGAGTGAGAGCCTTTACTAAAAACAGCGTCCTAATTTCAACCCATCCCGACTTCTCACTTTACTTGTTCTTTCTGAAAGAGCTCCAAACCCTAGCATCCATGGCGCCACTGGCCCTTGCTTCGGCTTAGGCTAGTGGCACCCTCTCCTCTCCTCCTCCTAGCCTCCTCCCCACCTTCCTACACCTTCCTCAGCCGTCTTTCTTGATGTCCTCTTCTTTTTTCTTCCTTTCCTCCACCGCTCCAAATCGGCTCCGCCGGTTTGTGGGTCCTTGGCATGCCTTTTCGTTTGTGATCACCACTCAAATCTCTGAGTTTTTGTCTTAGATCTCTACCCACTTCTCACCCAGAAGCTGCTCTCTGCCTCCCCATTTTCCCTCACCTTCGCACCCACTTTTTCGTCCTTCCTCTGGCTCCCACTCTTCTTTTCCAACTCTTAACCACGATTTAGATCATGGAGTTTTGGGCTCTTCTTTTACTCAAGACCAAGCCTTCCCATCCCACTGCCGAACAGGCTTGCAGGAAAATTTGGGCGAAGTGTGGAACGATTTTCTTCGGAACAAGGGTGTTTTACACACCCCCTTTGCCCTCCCCCTCCTCCTGTTACATTTTGTGACATTCCTTGCAGGTGTGGATGTGGAGGCTTTGTTTCTTGGTGGACAGATTCTGCACAACCCTCTCAGATCAAGTTTATGGTTCGGGTTTTCTTTTTCTTTTAGGGCGACGGATTTTATTGCAGTGGAAGCTGCGGTGGCGACAGCAGCGGTCTTTTAGATGTTGAAGATTAGGGTTTTTGTTGCTTTTCTGCTTTTACTGCCTACGAGCCTAATGATGTATGGGTCTCCCTTTGTGTTTTGGGTTGGTGCTCTACTTGGTTTGGGTTTGTTTTACCTTTTATGTCCTGCTTTGTTTTATGTAAGGCTTTGTATTTTGTTTGAACTTAGGTCCATCTCTCACAAATTGTATTTTCCCTTACATTAATGGAATGTTTTCTTTGTCCCAAAAAAAAATGACTACTTGACTATGACTACTCTCCCTCTAATCTTTGTCCATGTCCACAAATGATATCTCTCCACATATCTATGTATTCCACACCTCAACTCACAAAATTATTAATTAATTCGAATTCTAGTATGGGATGACAATTTCAGAATTTTTGGTTAAATATATTCAGTTTTTCTTACTGCTTAGTTGTATGAGAAATAAATTGTGAAAATTGACTTTAAAAGATCGAACAATGAAAAATATTTAAAAAGTCAGACTACTTGGTAGACTATATTATCAAAGACAATGGGTTCTTACGCATTACCTTTGCTTTCTCTTAGGCTGGCGATGTTAATCCTCATTCTTTAGCTTTGTCTATTCGTTCTATTTTTCTCACTCTATCATATATTTCCAATGTATCACAGACAAAATCTGTATAATATCTCTTTATATACCATGATTGACAGATGACAACGTGAATTCTTAATAATAGTATCAAGATCCATCAGATGTACACAAAATTTTGTTGAAAGGATATTATTTGTTTTTGGAATGACAGAAATGGATAAACCAGTTCTAAATCTTAAATGAGATAACACATAATCTCAATGCCACATATCAACACACCCACAACCACATGACTGTCCTATATTATTAGTAACCTAACAATACCATTAGGATTGGATAACCAAAATTTATGTGGAATATTTTTACTCGACACCTTCAGGTGACGATAATGCTCACCATAGGTGAATTTAAATTGGAAGATTATGGAGATATGTGTATTAAATAGAAATAAATAATAAAATTTAAACTCATCTAACGATGATAAATAAGGTGTGAGCAAAAATGCATCCAAGCACAAAATTTTGAAAGATAAAAAAAAGTAAAGATAAAAAAGAAATTTTCAAACCACCTATATGGCTTCCTGTGCGATCGACACGTGGAAGATTCTTTTGGCATTTCAATTTTTTTCTTTAAAAAAAAAAAAAAAAAAAAAAGACGCGTATACATTTGGGGTGTATATAAATATCAGCTTCCAGGTTGCCGTTACTTAACTTCTCAAAACTCGTCATCATCTGCATTCGGAAGCTCTCAAACTTTCTGGATTTTCAGAAGTTAAAGCCACAAAAACCAATCTTTCAATTGTTTCTTTTCTGGGTTGTGAAAAGTTTGAGTCTTTCGGATAGCCGGGTGTTTGGGAAATGGAGGTTTCGGTGTTTCGCGGCTCTCAGGCGGCAATCGGAAAGACCGAGTTGGAGCGAACGGAGCTTGGGTTTTGTGAATTGAACGGAAATTTGAAGACCAACGTCTGTTTTGGTCAGAGCACGAGCTGGAAAAATCCCCGGCTTCAGTTTACTGTGAGGGCCGTACAATCCGAAACGGTTCGGTCCGGTAAAGTTTCGGGACCTGCCAGAAAATCAAAACCGGTAAGTGGTTTCTTCTTCAATTTTGTTGTGTTAGATTTTCGTTTGGTTTCTGAGAAATTGGAGGAAAATGGAACAGGAATTTAAATTTCAAATAACTGCTTAGGTTGGAGTTGTTTTTGTGAGATTGTGGTTAAATTTAAAATTTTGATTCATATAATTGACCTTTTTTTATAAAATTATATATTTGATCTTAAATTATGAAATTATAAAAGGAATTTAAGGTCCTTAGTTCGTTTGAAGACTAGAATTTCAGTTGGAACATGTTTTCGAAGCAAACAAAACAATCCTTAATTTAACTTTAGTATATAGTTGTTCATGTTTGAGAAGTCTAATGTTTTATTTGTTGATTTTCCGGCATGATTTGTGTAACTTAATTGACTTGTTTTTCTGATGTGCTATACTATGCAGAACGATGGAGTGAGATTATTTGTTGGGCTACCTCTAGATACGGTTTCAGACTGCAACGCGGTGAACCATGCTAGAGCGATTGCGGCCGGATTGAAGGCTCTGAAGCTGTTGGGGGTGGACGGCGTTGAGCTCCCGGTCTGGTGGGGAATGGTTGAGAAAGAAGCCATGGGGAAGTATGAGTGGTCAGGCTATCTTGCCGTTGCGGAGATGGTTCAGAAAGCCGGCCTCGAGCTCCATGTCTCACTCTGCTTCCATGCTTCTAAACAACCCAAGATCCCACTCCCTGCGTGGGTATCTCGCCTTGGCGCGTCCCAGCCTAGTATCTTTTTCAAGGACCGGTCGGGGCAGCATTACAAAGAGTGCTTATCGCTTGCTGTGGATGAACTTCCTGTACTGAATGGAAAGACTCCAACCCAAGTTTACCAAGACTTCTGTGAAAGCTTTAAATCTTCGTTCGAGCCTTTCCTGGGTTCCACAATCGCGGTAAGAAGCCATGATGCTTAAGCTTTATAACGAAACATTAGTTGTCTCACGTTTTGTATGCGTACTAAACTGTCAATCTCTCCCGTTTTGTCAATTTCAGGGCATCTCAATGAGCTTAGGACCAGATGGCGAGCTTCAATATCCATCTCAGCGCCGGCTAGGCAAGAACAAGATTCCCGGGGTTGGAGAATTCCAATGTTATGATGAAAACATGCTTAGCATTCTTAAGCAACACGCTGAAGCAGCCGGAAACCCTTTGTGGGGTCTTGGTGGTCCTCATGATGTTCCTAGCTACGATCAGTCCCCAAACGCAAACAACTTCTTCAAGGATGATGGCGGTTCATGGGAGTCTCCATATGGTGATTTCTTCCTTTCCTGGTACTCAAACCAGCTTATTTCTCACGGAGACCGCCTCCTCGACCTTGTCTCTTCAACTTTCAGTGACACTGAAGTGGAAATTTGTGGCAAGGTCCCGCTAATGCACTCTTGGTACAAAACAAGGTCTCACCCTTCTGAGCTGACTTCTGGGTTCTATAACACATCCTCTAGAGATGGTTACCAAGCAGTTGCCCAGATGTTTGCAAGGAATTCGTGCAAAATTATATTGCCTGGAATGGACCTATCGGACGAACATCAGCCACAGGACTCCCTTTCGAGTCCCGAGTTATTACTATCACAAATTAAAACCGCTTGCAGAAAGCATGGGGTTGAGATTTCAGGCCAAAACTCATCAGTTTCGGGAGCTCGCGAAGGCTTTCAACAGATAAAGAAGAATTTGTTGGGAGAGAATGCAATCAACCTGTTCACTTATCAGAGAATGGGAGCTGATTTCTTCTCGCCCGATCATTTTCCTTCGTTTTCTGAGTTTGTTCGGAGCCTTAACCAACCGCAGCTGCAGTCAGACGATCTACCAATTGAAGAAGAAGCTGTTGAGTCCGTACCTACGAATTCGGAATCAGTCGTCCGCATGCAAACCGCTTAATACAAGTTAGAATTTGTGGTTGTATTTTTATATATAAAACTTGTCTCCTATACGTGTATCCGACTCAGAATTGTATATAATTCAAGGTCTTAAAAACACGCTAGGCGCTAGTCGGGCGGGGATTAGGGCCTAATGCCTAGGCTCCTAGGTGGACTAGACGGATTTAAGTAAATGTATTATATTTCGTGTAAATAATTGTGTGTCTATACTTAAAATATATATAATTTTATCGTAAACTACAAAATAGAATGACATATATTATGAAGTATTGGAACATAATGAAAACATGGAAAACAAGCATATAATGTGTGTTCATTTAAGTATTCAACAAGTCTCTTATAATTTATTGAAAAAATAAAATACAAAATGAAAGTTTTCCAATTTTGTCTAAGTGAGTTGCAACCGAGATGAGTTTGGATGCGCTAGGCAGGTGCCTAGGTGGTCAAGGTGGGCACCTCAGCAGGTCTAGGTGTCATTTCTTAATTTTTAAATGTTAATTTTTAAATGTTTAAGCATTAATCAAAACGGTGATTAACCGCTTAGCGCCTAAGTCGGGCCTAGGTGGCGCTAGTTGGGGATTTGTAGAACAGTGATATAATTCAAATCATAACAAGAACAGCAGCATATCACAGCATTACGTTGTACCAAAAACTATGGTCATATGAGCAAATTTAGGCTTTTATTCTCTCTGGTACAAGCTACTATTGGAATCCCACATTGGTGGGTGCAAAAGAAAATAATGGGTTTAAATATGATTACCCTACTCTAACTAATACCGAGATCTTTTGTGGTAAAACTCCACACCTGACAGATTAGGCAGGTAGTAAAGTTGGGAACAGTATCAATGTTATTAGAGTGAGGCTCTCCCGGGCCTGTCAATCTAAAATTTTTTAATATGGTATTAGAGCCAAGGTTCGGGCCCCACTCAAATCAATGAACTTGTCACCAAGAACAAGCCAGGACTATTAACAGAGAGCCACTCAAATCAATGAACTTGTCACCAAGAACAAGCCAGGACTATTAACAGAGAGCCACTCAAATCAATGAACTTGTCACCAAGAACAAGCCAGGACTATTAACAGAGAGCCAGCCTCTAAGTTTCATTGAAAACAAGTCTGGACTCTTAGCATAGAGCCGACCTGAGTTTCAATTGACGATGTGTGGATCTTCACGTGTGAACCACTAAATGGGATTACACGTGAGGATGAGTGTTGGAATCCCACATAAGTGGGTGCAAAAGAAAATAATGGATTTAAATATGATTACCCTACTCTAACCAAATGGCATGCAAACACTTCACAAATGCTGGAGTTTGATCAACAAGTATGCTGTGCCTCATCACTCCATACAACCCAACTCAGTGCTGTTCAGAAAACTCGCAAAATCGGTACCACTGTCAGAAACACACGTCGTTCCATTAACATAGCAAAGACTACAAGAAAAGACGGGCAAGGTTTGGGACAGCGGTGGAAGAGCCACAGTCCTTCATCGACGAAGCTTTGCAAAGCAAACTAGTTATAAGGAAGTCTGAATCCAACGGGGGATTGAACAGCCTATACTTGGACGAAACGAAATGTACATATAAAATCAAATGTGGTCAAATTTCAGGTAAACAGGGTTTTGTAAAAATAGGCTACTATGTACATTTAAGAAGTAAAATTTACAGCAAATGGTGGATGACAAAGGACCGAAGCTCTCCACCTTCAAATTCCGGGACTCCTCCGGGGTTTGGCAAAATCATGATCCAAGAAGGGCTGGGGCGTCTGAGCATGCTGCATGCCTGCCAATCCCAGCACTACGACACCTTCAGCGAACAGCCTCATTGAATCAACCCACTATAGCTGCTCCTGGACCGCAAGAAAAAGATAGGGTTAATCATGCTCGTTTAAACAGATATTGGCACCTAAAGATCAACCAACTCCATCAACATTACAAACACAAACAATCGTATGGACTCTGGAAGTGTTACGAGTGTCTAGGGTGAAAGAGTTGTGTTCAAGCATATAATAGTTGGTGAAGTTAGGTTCAAATTTAACTAATTACTATCACAGAAAATAGCTTTCAAATTAATAAATCAATACCTTTATTCACAAGCAATCTTGGTGTCAAAGCTACTGAGGCAGATTGAAAATGCCTGGAATGCTGATATTGGATACCGGTAATCCATGGTAAATAAATCCTTGCCAACTTTCCCAAATTGGAGGATGATCTTCTCGTGTTCTGGTCCTGCGGGTCCATTTTCTGGAGAAGCCACCAACTGAAAGTTTTTCACTGAAGCAACTGTTACTCGTCCATGAAAGTTCAAACACCAACACTGAAGTTGCTCATGCCACCGAGGAGACTTGTTTCTTAACACCAGCACCCCATCTTTCTGTCTGGCCAAAGGCCCTGACAGGAAACTCTCCACGCGGTTTGATTTCGATCGGAAAAATGGGAGGGATGGAAATAATTCTGCATTATTATGTGAAAACTCTGCCTGTGTGGTGGCCACTCCTCCAGGTTCAACTGAAGAGGATGGAATCGAATCCATGGTACACTGCATTCTCCTTGGACCCCTGCTTATAAATATTTTCTTTAGTATCCTCAGTTTGTAAAAAAGAAAATGCACCCTAAGTGTACCGAAAACATTATGATCACACACAATGTTGTTGTGAGTATTGCGAAGAATTATAGGAAAAAAAATGAAAGCATCACCTATGCAGATGGAATACTAGATCTAGATGTACTCTTATAATTTCATTTCTAAAGTATGGTTCAATAACTTGTCATAGAAGCATAAATTTTACCTGGAGCCCATCATATTTAGTTCATACTGGATTTGAGCCACTGGATAGTTGCCAGCAGGGACCCTAGGGGAAACTTGTTTCAAATTGACAAGCCTAGTGGAGCGGCTTTTTGCAATCTTGTCTCCCAAATGACTCGGCTGCCCATCAAAGATTGTGAACTTTGTTCCCAAAAAGTTTGATCTTCACAGAGAGAGGGGGGAAAGTGTGTCAACAATTATGTTCATGGGGAACAAGAAAAAAGTTAAATCATATACATCTTTCAGCACACCTCAGTTTCCCGATATAGTTACTGCTCCCCTTAGACATATTATCAACATGTAGTGAGACGACATAATCAGTGCAGGTGGGGCGTTTAAACTTTCGCGCAGCAAGTAAGAACTTTCCTTCGTCAGTTAGAGCTGCCATTGACACCAGACAAACAAAACAGTTAACAAAAACTTATAGCTGAATGAGGAAACCAGAAGAGGACAGGTCCACTATTTACAGAAAGCAAAATTGATTTCTTAAGAGAGGAATCAATACCTACAAGACCTAACAAAAAATTAGAGCAAATATGGAAAATCTACATCTTTGAAAGACAACCTAGAAAAGTTTCACGTAATTCAAAATGTACTCAAAACAATGGAACTTCCTTTTTCGGTTAGAAAATGCTCACCATGGGTCAAACCAAGAAAAAGATAATATGTTTGGGTGGAACGGTTCCGTTTGATAAAGCATCGGACGAGGTCATCCCTCGGACCAGGCTGCAACCAGAAAAGAAAAACATATACTGAGCATATGTACAACGGCGATTACGAAGGTAGTAAACAATAAATCAAAAAATTGGAAAACCCAAGATTTTCCAACCCGAAAATCCAACATAATTAGAATTCGGAACATGATTCACATGATCTTACACCCTTCCACTCGCCTATTAATCCATTTACACTACATGGTAACTAAAGACTAAAAATTGCAATTTTAGCCACTTAAAGCTAGAGGTGGCAAATAAACCCATATGGTTGTTAATGGGTAGCCGTTAAGACCCGTTTAATTTGATATCACCATGATATAGAGGTGAGATTGGTAGTGGTGATGATAGTCATTAACAACCCAATGGGTTGATTTGCCACCTCTACTTATTGGCTAGAAATTTGCTTTCCAAACATTACAACGACTGAAAATTTGGCTAAATTTGCATGTAAGGGCCAAGAATTATGCTAAAAGTTTCACTCCAAATTCCAATCACACTCCAGAAGCATCCCAAACAAATCAAGTAATGAAATTTCGACCGAAACCCAATTGTAATGCAGTCATAATCAATAAATCAATAAAATTTGCACCCTAAATGTAAATATTGGACACAGACTCAAACAATTAGAGAAGAAAAAGAACTCAATCAATATAAAGTTTTTCCTTTTTTTCCTAGAGAGAGGGGGGAGAGAGCGAGACCTGCTTGACGGAGATGGGGAAGGTCAGCTTCCCAGAGAGCTCTGGCGCCTTGACGATCTCCTTGGTAAGGTGCCTCCAACTCCGGCAGACACCGGCGCAGGCGACCACGCTCTTCCGCAGCGGCCAAGCGTCCTCGGAAGCCTCGATTCTAACCAGCACCTCTCTGAGCAACTCCTGAGGCATCTGAGCCCAGCATACCTGAATCAACGGCTCCCCCACCGCCTCGCCGGCCGGCCTCCCCGCCGAAACCTGCACCACCCGCTGCGACCGCGAGAACCTGATGTCCTGGATTAAACTCCTTATCGACATTTCCCAACTGATTCAAACTCCAGGACAAAGAAGAAGACGATGAGATGAGAAATTGGACTTGGATTTCAAATGGAGGATGTGGGAATTTTGAACAAGAATCCAGCGGGCAGAGCACCTTAGGCGTATTTTTTCATAATTTTTCTCAGTTATCTTATACTGTTTCTAATTTGTTGTTTGGTGAGTGGGAAAAGCTTTTGTTTTTCTTTTCTGGGGTCCATATTATTATACTCTCTAATTATTATTATTATTTTTTTTTGGGTGGTGGGGGGCGGGGGATTTTATAATTTAATTATTCAAAATTGTTCAACAAAAAATGAAATCTGTGAAATGGAAAACGTGATTTTGTTTTATATTCTTCCTGATGTGGGAAAAAAATGGATTAGGCAATGTCAACCATATTTTTATCATGTCACAAATAATTTTCTTTTATATAACATGCACCTTTCAATTTCTCTTTTTCTTTTATTTATCCAAGTATACGTATGTGAATTTTTGGTGTAACCGTCATAACCAACATGTTACAAACTACTTATGTTAGAATGCATATTTTATTTAGGGACAGTGGTACGTACACCAAATTCATGTACCAATTAATGTAGCACATTCGACATCATATAAATTTCAAATTCCAACTTAAATTGAAGTATCAATTGGCTTTGTGCCATACTATTTGATGCACAAATTTAAAGTGAAATTTTTTGTGACTCGCATTATTCTTTATTTATTAAAATCATACTCTTAAATATAAAATTTTGTTTACCATTATGTAATAAAGGAATTAGTAACATCAAATGATAGCACTTGTACTCTAATTTTATTCCAAAAATGAATGGATGTTTAATTAGGTTGGACTTCAGCGGTAGGTAAGATTATTGAAGTCCAATCAATTTAACCAAACTAATTCACCAAATTAAGTGCTATCTAATCTAATCTAATCGGATTTGGTTAACTTTGGTTTGGTGTTTGAATAAATAATCAGTATGTTTTAATTTGGGGAAATTTGTTTCAATGCAAATTAGTTGATTTCCTTCCTACTTTAATGTTAATGAAGAATATCTTCCCCCTAAAGAAAAAAATTAATTACATTTTCCCCGTTTGTAAGACCATCTCCAGTAATACTAATTAATTTTTTTATTATTGTAGCTAGCTAAATGAATTAAATGTTGTCACTTAATATTTACGGTTTAGTGATATTCCTCTTCATTTGTAAGTGAAGGGTCTTATGTTCGATTCTCGCTAAAGACGAATTTGAATCACATTATTGTTAGTCCATTGTGAAGTTATACCCAATCCCTCCCCTTAGTGTAAATACAATCGTTTATTCAAAAAAAATCAAATGTTAATTTGGGTTTCACCAATTTCAGCAATACTAGCTATTTTAGCTTAAGTTAATGTAGTATTATATTTTTTTCAAAACTTGACAACCAGACCCCATTTTCTTCTCTCGAAACCCACAAACAATCTAATTTTATAGTTTTTAGATATTTAGCAAAAAATTAACGATCTCTACTCATAACAAAGTCTAAAATATTGATGATATCAGAAATATCGATAGTCTAAAAATATGAAAATTTCGATAAAAATATCGGGATATTATTGATATCGATAAAAATTGAATAAAAACCACGGAAATTGTAAGAAAAACTTGGTAATTTTTATTGAAACTTTGTAGGATGTTTATTTAGTCAATTATCTATTAGTTTATCATAAAAAATTGGAAGGAAATGCATTGCATGATGAATTTAACTGATTTAAGTTGATTATATAGCGAGCTGGCAAACATTGTGAGTGTAGAAAATATGTAGTAATTAATGAAAGAAGTTTAAACACATCATAATCATTTATATATAATGAATTAGTACAATATTTTACACTTTATACATTGCATGATAAGATACATGAGTGACTTAATACCACATAGAGTTCCTATCAAAGTCTAAAATATCGATGATATTGGAAACATCGGTAGTCCAAAAACACGGAAATTTCGAAGGAAATATCGGGATAATATTGATATTTTAGACCTTGCTCCTAACTATATAAGATAGCTAGTCATTTACCTAGCCCGTTGGAGCTTGATTTTTCTGCATTTTTTTGTTAAAGCAGCCAAAAGGCCTCATTTAGCCAGGGTGTTGAAAATACTCTAAGCAAGACAAAGCCTAACCCATATTTCAACTAATAATTTGGTCTCCAACCAAATAATAATAATAATAATATGGTCTAATAGCCTCATTTAATTCAGTTGCTGCCTGGTGAAAATGCAATTCAAGAAGTCAGATGGAAATTTTCAAATTCAATTCGTACTTTATACATCTTGTTAAGTTCCTTGAAAATGAAATCCGCAAGCTCGGTCAGGCGATAAAATCTTAGGCAAGATTATCGTGAGAAAGTCGTAAGTAAGGTTGTCACATGGCGCGGAGAGACACAACGCCCAAAATGGATATATAATCACAGTCTAACTCGATGGGCGGAGCCGCGGATAGCACAAAGTTGCCGGCTGATCAAGTAGGTGGAATCTATGCAATATAAAACAATTTCTACAGACTAATCCACAAATTGGCTTTCCCTTGCTCTTTATACACACAAGAATTTTTGTTTTCTTGCAAAAGTAGCATCCGAAATTTACGTACTCTACGAGTGTGACAGCCCTTATTTTTGTTTTTCATATTACCTAGGACCCTAGTACAAATTCTGACGGGAATCTCTAACCTAAATTCCATATTTTATCTTATTGTTTAATTTCTTTTTATGAATTTTAAACTCGACCTTTGTTCTCACGGGAACAACTTACATAGAATGAATTCATCACATCTTTAGCACCTCGGTCCAATACGGATTGTCACGTAAGAAAAAACTTACGCACGGCAAAGCATATTGTTACGTCGAAATCTCATGAACCAGGGAACTAGTTCTATGTAAGTTCTCTCCACAAAAGACTTAAAACGGAAAACAGAGTTCGTAAAGATAAAGGGATGAAACAAAAGGAAACACATGAGGGGAAGAAAAAAAACATGTGTAAATGAAGACACTTGAATTGGAGAGGAACACGTAGTTTGTCGGTTGTTAAACGGAGACGCTTGAAATCAGAAACCACCAGACAAACAAACTGGCAAATGCTAATGCTTTGAGACACATATGAGATCCCCTTTGGGAGGAGCCAAACCTGATGTGAAGAGGAACAAAATTGACCTTTTTCTCCCATGAGAGGATTTAGGATTTAGGATTTACACAAAGGTTTGTATTTTACTCTTGTTTAAGAATATTACATTAGAGACATCTGCAAATCACAGTCAGATGCAAAAACAGGTCATTACGATCACAAAAAGAAAAAGTTACAAAAACAGGTCATTACAATCACAAAAAAAAAAAGTTTCTAACACGTCAAATTGTGATTTGTCCACAACATAAAGGGGTGTTGATACCCTCAAAAACCACCCACTCTTCATTTATTTGCTCACAAAAAAAAGTGAGAGCCCCACATAACAATTGGTAGGATTAGGAAAGTGACACTCCCCAACTTTTTAAATGGGGGCACTATTGCAAAAAGAGGATGCCAGTCTTATTAATCACATGACCAGCATGATATTCTCAAAGCATCCTTCACCTACACCTACATCAGCCTTAAATCATCTTTCAATCACTTGGTATAGAATTTAAGGAATTCTTATTGACACTCCAAAAAATTCACCATGCACTCTCTGAGACGCAACTTCTCCTGTGTGTTTTCCCAAGTGAAAAACACAGGATAAATTTTTTAGAATGTAAATAATTGCTCCTGCAAGTTGTACTGATAAAGATGTTGATTAACAATTTCTTGTTCCAATAAACAAATGAAAGCATCAAATTAAAGAGATCCAAGACATGATTAGCATTTCTAGGTAATTCTTTTATCTTGATATCTAGACATGCTTTTGGAAACAAGATCCATCACACACCTAAGAATAGGGACGGCCATAATTTAGCATTACTTTAACTGACATGCCATTATATCTAAAGAATCAAAATATCTAGAATATAATTATGGCATATTTGTCGATTTGTTCCCAAACTTATATATAGCTATCCATTTCCTCTTTGAACTTTAATTTTAACCGAGTAACCCCTAAACTTTTGTAAATAACCAAATCTTCCCTTGATGCTAGATTTTCAAAAAATTTCATCCAATTTTCCATTCATTTTGATCACGCAGACAACACATGACAATTGTATGAGGGCAAAAAGAATGAAAAATTGGATGAAATTGGTTATTTATAAAATTTTAGGGGCGTAATCGATGAAAGTTAAAGTTCAAGGGGAAAATTGGCCAATTATAAAAGTTCAGGAGCGTAATTAGCTAAAATTAAAATTCAAGGAGAAAATTGGCAGCTCCATACAAATTCATGGGGTGGGGGAAATTGACAAATACCTCTATAATTAAGCAAGATATTTAAAAATATCGTACCACAATAACAAGAAGCAGCCTAAATCTGTTGCTGTCACAGACGTCTTGTGCTGTCTGCTGTTATCACGGATTAGGCCTGTGCGTCTTTCATTGCATAAATGTCAAATGGAAACTTACCAGGGCCCCACCAACTGAGAATTCCCACTTAATTTCAGATTGAATTGGAGCAACATGTCTCCATCTCCACCAAACTTTCCATACCCACAGGCCCACGGGAGAGGAAAAAAAACCGATGAGGTGAAATGTTTCTCCATGTAACAGATCGAAGAGTGTACAGAAGAATTGTAGTAAAAGGAAGACGATATTAACGAAACTAATGTAACACAAAGAATATTGCATCAATTAAAACATTCCAAGCAGTCATATTTACAAATTCAAGAGTAGCATTTGTTCGACGGAAACTTAGGACAGCATGCACAGCAAGTGATATACAAACATGGTTCAGTGTTGACTATTATGTAGAGGCCTAGAATGAACATTTTAATGATGAGTTTAGTCAATTTCGAAATGAAACCTAAGTCCTAGCCTCAAGTATTAGGTCAAAATTAAACCTTAACCGAGGCAAAAATTCCTACCAGGACTCCTATATAACGGGAACGCTGCCAGTTTTCTGTTGCATGGTCCCCAATGATTGTCCTACAAAACCAATGAAACTGTCTGGGTGAAGGATTTATTTACCATTGTGGAAGTAGTTACAGAACAAACAAGTATGATCGAATCTAATGTACGCTTCTAACGAAACACTAGACTAAACATCTTACAAAGGATTCAAGAATACCTGAGTTACCCGCAAAAGAATAAGGTTTTGAAAGAATTTTGCTTCTTGCTAAACCAACGCCAGCCACCTGAGGCCTTGGAACATTATCCACAGGAAACTGATTTGAGAAATCACCATCAGGCAGGCAACCTATTGAGTTCTCCAAACAAACTTCTGAATTTTGTGCGAGAATTTGGTCAGGTTTCCGCAAAGAAGGCAAAGGTTGTGAGTCTCTCTGTTTTACAATAAGTAATTATATCTCAGAGTAGCTGCCTGTCACTAAAAAGTTTGATGGAAAAAGGAGAGGGGAGACAATTTTGCGTATCTTGTTTTGATACTCATTTAACACCTTAATACTAGTGACTCACCATGTCACCACAAAGCTCCTCAGTTGATGCCATTGCCTCATGGTATAGATGACTAAGATCTGATCGGAGCCGATTGCCTCTTTGAGAGTAATATACTTTAGTAGCCAGGGGAAGAGGACAATCTGATTAACACAAAACTCTTTGTCAAATAGTGTGAGCAGAGAGCACGTACAGTAGATTATTGGGAAAGAATGGTCATCAGGATAAACTTTCCCAAGAAGTTGATTGAAGTTCAAAATGTACATATGATGATCCATCTTTAATCCAAGACCTTATTGTTAATCTTTGCATCGAAAGTAAAAGAACTGACCAAACGGACACTATTATTAGCATACCTTTAATTGGCAGGCAGCAGTCAAGGGCTTGCCCGGACTTCTTATATTTAAGAGCAGAAATGGCTCCTTTTGGAGAATCCCTATCTGCACACATTCAAGAAATACATACCTAGTGAATACACCATAAATTTAGAAGCAACTAGAGAATCAATAAAGTTTTAGTTACGCCAGAGGTGATAGTTACCATATTTATGCATATATAAAATAATGAAACAATGAAATCCATTTGTAGTTTATTCCCTATTTCAGTTCTTCGTTTCCTCTAGGGTGTGGGGTGGAAATCAAAAAGTTCTTTGAATTAATGCGTAATGAGAATCAAACATCAAAATCAATTATATCCAACTTCTCATACTATGAAAAATGGTTGCGATATACTCATTCCCAAGTAATGAGGATAGCTATACATGAAAAGTTATAAATGCAAAGACCCTCTATTTTAAATTTTAAGAGTAGGGAGGATTTAAAAGTATAATATAAAATACAGTGATTGGATATTCGATAATTGACAAGCTACATAAAAATGTAATATAAAAATTCCAAGAATTAAAGATCCTCACAAGGATATGCATCCTCAGTACTTGCAAGTTTTGATACAGCAGATGCTGTTCCTATATCATCTGATAGTGGCAGCTGATGACCTGGTATCCTACAAGTGGGGAAAAAGGCATTTTGCATCATTTAATGGAAAAGAGAGACAAATATCTAACAGCATATAAAGGCTTCTTCTATAATAAATACAAAAATAAAAAATAAAAAGAAATAGATCAACTGAACATTTCCAATAAGCCATTGCATTTGACTTATATAAAGGATGCAAGAATGTATCCCACTTTTGAAACTTTGCAATGTCACCCTACCCACCATTGGTAGGTAGCTAATAAACAAAAATAAATAAAGATTAAAAAATTTGCAATTTAAGGCATCAACAAAAGTAGCAACTCGGCCCTTATCTCTAGAAGAAGCCAAAGGAAGCACAGGTTCAGGAACGATTAAAAGAAGAATTCACCTAGATCACATTCCTAAGCGCACATTGTCTAGACATTATTCTAACCCCACTACAGGAAATATGTCAAAAGCCACTAAAAGTCCATTTCTCTAAATTGCTCCAGAAACACAATGCACAAGTACTCAAAATCCTTAAAAGAGGGAAAGAAAATTGACTGTGGTTCTTGGCCGTGCATAAGATCAGAGGAACTAGGGAAGCAAAAGAAACTGACTAAAGGAAAACAGTGAGAACAGTAATGTGCAATATATGTTCAAAGTTCAAATAGAGACTTTTTAGGTACTTAAGATATGTATATATAATCATAATGCAAAGATGATTAATGGTTACAAGAATAAAAAACATACATTTTAAATCGTTTTGTCGGTGGAAGGGTCACAGATGTTGAGCCATTGGTATTTCCTGGACTAACTCCAGAACCATCCATCATGTACGTTGCGTCCGCATAAGCTGAATTCACTGTATGAAATGGTACATAATTGAACAAATCTTTATGCAGAATAGCTGTATAATAATTTATTTTATTGCTTTATTTGGGAGATCTTTTTTGCACTCTGAAAAAGTCATTATGCACTCCTCCCTAGTGAAGAAAATAAAGGAGGGAAGAGTGCAGATTTGAGCAAATCAACTTAAGAAAGTGACATTGCTAGATGATACCAAGAATAGAACTAAACTCCAGGGAGAATCTTATATATACACACAATCTGCAATACGCCAAATACTTCACATACCAGGCCCTAAGTTATAGCCTGATTAATTTGTTGAGGAACATGATTTAAATGCCAAATTGTACCCTAATGGTGAAAAAGTAACAAGTGGGGAAAGGAAAGGAAAAACGTGATAAAACAAAGCAGAATTTTGAAATGAGGAAAGTCAAGATATCAAATTGAAGACAAGAATAAGCGCAAGAAAGAGTTACTTTTTGCCTCCATAAAAGAGCCAGGATTCATTCCAATTTGCCCATCCAACTGGAATTGTGACACAGAGTTATCGTCTGCATCTACAGATTCAGATCGTTCTAGCTCTCCAACTAAAGCGGACTGGTCTAGAAAAGGTTAAGAACCATTGAATTGTTACGCAATTAGAAAACGGTATCCTCTGATTCAGAAAAAAAAAATACCACCAAGATGCTACTTGCAGAACACTCAGAAAATTGTGTTAACATAATAACTGCTATTAACTCTTCCATAACACTTTACTACACTTTGGTTCAAGTAGAAATGAATAAGAGAAATGAGATGAGGCATCAGTAAGAAATGTAAGAAAGAACAAGGAAACACTAAACTTTACTATTAAAATAAATAAAAAGAAGGAGTGAGCTAGGTCTAGAAATGGCTGCTGTAGCCAAATCCTATTGGGATTTTCCTTTCTAATATAGTTGGTGGACTTCTTATCCACTTATGTGTATTTCTCTATTCTTTAATAAAATTGTTTCTTCTCAAAAAGAAAATAAATAAATAAAAAGAAGGATACTAGCATGAGCAGTTGATGACTTTTTCCTCTCCTTCCTTGGAGGCTTCCTTTGCCCCATACTTCCATCAAGCTCCAAAGTAGTTTCCTGCGTAGAATTTAATAACCTGCAAAGTTCTGAAAATTTCGGGCTATTTCAGCACCAGGCTAAACCAGCAGACTTAAAGAGTTAGGAAGGAACCAATTAGCAAACACTACATGCAGTCCAATAAACATGGATAAGGTCTCTGCCACATTGAGAGATCCTAGATTGGAACGTGAATATTCATGCAACACATTTTTTCTCCATCAAGCATGCAACACATTTTTTTTCTCCATCAAGCATGCAACACACCACATACAAACATTTGAGCAATAAATATTGTGAAGAGAACTACTTCACATCCAAAGGTTTCCATTGGGTGCTAGCATCGAGTACTTTTTTACATGGTAGCATGCTTCAAATTATAACGCGCAAGAATACTGCGCTGACACACATACACATATAACAAGGGGGAAAAAACATGTGTGTCTGCATATAAAAGGTTTAAGTAACACAAAAAAAACTATTTGAAGGAAATAACAGAAAAAAGGACCTCCAAACCTGCATGAGCTGCATACTGACTGGCCTTGACCGGTTTTTTACAAGCATTGCAACATACCTTCACAGTATGTTAAATAATCAAATTGGATAGAGGTTATGCATAGAGATATAACCACACAAACACATAGATATAAACAATTACACAGATCAGTTAGGTAAAGTTAGGTACCTTTTTTTATTTTATTTTTACTTAAAGTAGATAAGTTATATAAAACGCAAAAGTATTCATATCTAACACAATCCATCTAGTAAAGGCACCTTGTGCATAATCAAAATATCATGTTTTTTTTTTTTTTTTTTTTTGAAGATTCTACCATGGCATTTTGATACTTAATAGACCATAGAGAGACAAAAGGCGCAACTTTAAGTACTTTTGTCCCTTCGGGATCAGATAAAGATTTTAGTCATTATATGCATTCACATAAATACTTGGAGTAACAGTGTCTTCAAATTATAGAAGCAGAGGTCTTATAGTTGCCACAAACACTCTCACAGGCTAAAGTAGTCACTAATCGGGTGATGATACTTGTTTGACTTATATAAATCTAAACCTGAGAGAAATGTCTTAATTTCTCAGTCCAGTCAAGGACGGTGGATGGTAGTCCTCTCCCATCCACAAGACCTCAAACCAAGGTAAAGGCCAGATTCAACCCCTGGTCCCTGGATATAAACCCCAAGGTACTTTACCTAAATTTCTGCTAACCACAAAATCATATTCCATATTAGTTACTGTATCCAAGAAGTCATAAGGTTCCTACAGCAATCACACAGAAAACTGTATAAAGTTCCACTCAGCCTCTCACTGCACCATAATTCATATCGACTTATTTATACATAAAACGAATTATTTTTTGTTACAGACAGAGACCATAGTAATTGCTGATCATCACACTGATCCAGTGTACTCAATTTGAATTTTGATGACTTCGCGATCATTTACTTTCTTCAATGTGTTACTGCAACTATCCACTACTTGAAGTTTATTCACCCCCAGAAAATAAATTCATGTTCATTTATTAGCAAAAGAAGTCACTAGAGACTTAGATGGTTAAGGTCTCCCTTATTTCCAGTTAAGAGGAAGTTATGAGTCTTATGACCGCTATTTTATTACAAGCACACAGGTAGTAAATATAAGTTTCTAATGTTTATGACTGGAGATATAAAGAAAGTGCCAGCTTGAACAGTATTACATACGTACATGATTAGGTACAAGTTTGTTCTGTGCAAAAGCAGAAATACTCAGAATACATGGGCAAATCCATGTAATCTAAGCCTTACCAAATGTAGAGGATCATCCATCGGCTTCAAACCAAACACATGCATATCTGCAGACCCATATGGAAATCATTAAACAAAATTGAACCAAGAACTGTGATGCATATGCATCTGGAAAACTAAATTTTTAGAAACAGAATGAAAATAATTAAAGTTGCACATTAATCTGCTAAAGTTGATCAAAATGGTCTTAATTATGTTTATGGATATATAGTATTTTAATGTCGAATAAAAGATGTTCCTAGTCGATTATCATTAACCTCGTGACCGTAGAACAAGTACACTTCTTTATTAAAGCCGTGTCCGAATTAATTAAAGATATCACCTTCTTCATCAAGTAAATTAGCTTCATTTGCCTCACTTAATTCTCTGCAGATTATTTGAGCAGCAAACTTGTGATGGCCAACTCCTTCTGTACGGAGCATACAGGGAATGAGGTTAATAACAAACCAAACAGGCAACGCAATGCCGTAGACTATAGTGAGGCAGAGTGTAGAAATCCCACATAATGAACAAGACTACATGCAAAGGTCATATAGTACCTGTTATGCTCTGTGAGACATTCACGCCCGCCAGAAGCCTTGCCATGACGGCCATCCTCCCATTTCCAAGTGGACAGACCATCGAGACTCGTATATTTTGGTAGGTAACAATCAGCACTACTCACTTCCACTGTCGAAAAAATGAGTCCATGTAAAACCGTACGAACATTATCCAGCCTTGCATTACCACAGAAGAACCGAAATCACTACGCGGATTGTGAGCCTGCGAGTAAAAATAAATTCATATAGCAAGCACATTTCAAAATGCATGGCCAATTCACAATTACAAGCACGAAAGAATCCATCTTTTTTCGCAATTCAAATTAACCCGTACTCTAAACCCAAATTTAGCTAAAAATAAATAAAAAAGGGATTCATTAATGTGCGACCGCAATCCAAAACCCTATCAAAACCTTCAACCTAAAGATCAATTCGAATAAATGCTTAATCAACCACTTCAAACAATCGAAATAAAAAATAAAGCAGCCGATGAGCCTCACCTACACCTCAGTCCGTGCTCGCAAGATTCCTCCGAACAAAAGCCCTCGCAATTATCGGAAACGACACCGAATCGGAGAATCCAAATCGGCAGCAATCGAAAGTCTCCGCGAGCTCGGAGCAGGCAATGCTCGCAGTGGCGGAGCAGGAAGAGAATGCGCGAATGCGGAAACCCTAGAACGAAAGGGGAGAGAGAATTTCACTTTTCTTTTTTGTTTCTTTTTTTGGAGTGAGATTTGAAACTGGAAAACGATGATTGAGTGTAGGTGGGTTTTCTGTATTTTCCGTTTTCTGCTCCTCCGACAGACAGGGGGAGAAGAAAGGAGGGAGAGAAGAAGAGGTGGCAAAGCTGGGGACGGCCGAGAGATGTTTGTCTTTTTCCTGAATTTGTTTGGCTGCGCGTTTGAAATTATAAGCCAACTGCCGACACGTGTACCTCGGCCCCCACGGCTTTCAAACAAATATCAGGAGAAGAACCACCAGGAACAGTGGTTAGAGATAAATTTGGAGAGTTTTAACGAAAAATCCACGGTCCTGTTCACTTTAATGAAAAATCATATTTTTACACTAAAAAATCAAACCTGTTATTATTCATTTTACCCTTTATTTTGTCCTTATCGTTGAGTAGTTTTCAAATCATTTTCATTAATTTTCCTATAAATTTTAGCCCATATTCTATACGGTGCATATTGAGTTTGATTCTTGGAGTTAGTAAATCATATGATGGTGGCCAGCAGAAGGCTAAAATGCTTCTGTGAGTCTTCCGGCTTTTGAAGAGGTGGATTGTCATGCCAAAATCACCGGCTAATCTTTTTTTTAGAAAAAATAAATAAATAAATTCAAGAGAAGTACCGATACACTATTACTAAACTTTGATTTTTAGCTAACCAAGCATCAATTTTTCCATATGTTTCTGGTTAGAAATATTCTTGATCCTATTGATAACGAGTAGGACCAAATAATTCAATCAAGATAGTTGTTGAACCATACCACATAATTTCAGCAACTACAAAAGTGGCAAAAAAAGATAGCAACAATCCTATTGGGTGATGTTTTGACTCTCATGCCAATACAATAAAATATTTATAAATATTTATTTTTTTATATGCCCTTGTTTCGTTGCAGGAGATGTATGACAGTGTATTTGTGACATGTAAATTGTTCTCATAGTAATAACATTTGGTAAGCTCTTTTTTATCGTCTCCGCATTATACACAGCGCTTTTGTACCCATAATTATGTTTTTGTTTTAAAATTTGCATTGATTTATTCAATTTAAAAATAATACTAATAATAAAATAGTGCAAAGAAACAATAAGGAAGCGCAACGATTACTTCTCGTAAAACCTTTTTATCCTAGCATTGTTTTGACACCATAATTGATTGTAACATTCTTCGCGATAAATTTTACCTTCACAAAAGACCAAACTTATGTAATTGCAAAACAAAACTATCTTCATATCTTTACATATTACTCTCACTAGGTGACTGGAGCAACCTATCGAATGTCACAATTTTAACATTTTACGTTGTTTCAAAGTCTACCCAGTTTTATACATCAACGCCAACTTTTCTTTTCTTTTTTTCTTACCTTCATTTCTCTTGGGTTGAAAACCAAATTGAGTTTATTGGAATTTGAAGATGGTGGTAAACCAACCCAACAAGTATCCATACAGGCTTATTAGACATGGAGTATGGGATCCAAGCCCATTGAAGATGGTGGTAAATCAACCTTCTGGGCTGGTTAAGGCCATGGTGACGAGTTATGTTGAATTTGGTCTTCGTGATGTTCCTCTTAGGCCCATTATGATAAGATCTAGCTTTTGGGCAATCTTATTAGTGTCATATTACAATATGTTTATATGATTAGGAAGAGGATCCTCTCTGGATTCACGTTGTCCTCATATTCTAGCAGTTTATCATACATCGTGTGGTCATTTTTCGTCAGATACTATTTATATTTAATTTTAAATAAAAAAATTAAATGATTTCTAACCGCATGATACACGATGAATGACCCCACAAAGTGAATCCGGATAGGATCCAATTCCATATGTTTATGACACTGTTATTCTCACAGTCGTTTGATTTCAGCATTATACGTGAGAGGTATAGAATAATAAAATAGTGTATTTATAGTTGGTTGGAGCAGTCCAGATGATTGACGACTACAAACATGCTACATTCAAGTGAAATTATATTTTATTATGCGATGCAAGATTTTACTTTCATGATGTGAGATAACCCTCTCAACGTACACATTTTTTACGCCTTCAGAAGCTAAAGTTGAATTATCGAAGTCTTCTTTAGGTTTGGTCGAAGAGATCGAAGCACTGGATTTTAAAATTCTGACATCATGCACAAAAAGGGGAGATAACTTTTAATCTCACGCCCCAACAATGAAAAAATTAGGAGTGTTGTCAAAGACAAGATCAACACAATAATCATGGTTAGGCATATATCCATGCTAGAAGCATAATTGGGAAACAGAATCAGTGAGAAGGGTTTTGGTTGATATAGGGTACCCCTCATGGTATACCTTGGGTAGGAAGGAAACTCATGCAAACAATGGGTCCATGCATGATGCAATGTAGTATGTACTACTATTGGTCTATTAGAAGAGAGAGACTTATATGAAAGGAGTTCACCGTTACAGTGACATCATGAGTCAGCGGCGTCATGAGTCACTAATACAAGGTTATGGGTACAACTCTCTTATCTTTGTATTAGTGGTTTGTAACACTGTGACAATTGTGAGCCCATTCCACCTAAAGCCATTCTCCCCGTCAAAAATTTCTCCAATCGAATTTTCCTTTATGTGATCTTTACACATTTTTATGATGTATCACTATATTCTAATGTGAGTATTTCTATAGCACGTTATGTGATTAATTAGTAGCGGAGTTAGATTGAGGTCAATAGCTGCTCATAACCCCAACAGCTTCCTCATCCATGAATTCTTTTTTTTTTTTTTGGTATATTTATCTTTGACCCCAACCAATGAGAGTGAACAACGTTGAATTACAAACCTATTGTTGCTTCTTCATTCTTTCCCATGTCTTCCTTCTCCTTTTTCTTGTGTGCAACCTAGTGGTGCACACCACATTCTCCACATAAAGCTTCCCTAGAAAAGTCTTGGCAAACAGGTCTTGACAGTCTGCTATCTTGGGCACACCTTGACAGATGCAGATGTTAGAAGAACACAAGAGTTATTGATAGCTGTCATCACAAGCTTTTGACGAATGTTGGTAAATTTGGATAAGCGATCACCAAATGCTCGACGGAATAGTGCAATGAAATTTTTTTTCTTGGTTGAAATCATGACCTCATTGTTTTAAAATTATGACTCTGCCATTGCATGTGATAGTGTGATCGTCTGAAAATTTTTCTAACCCAATGACGTGCATACGTAACCACGTGTCAATTGAATGGTTATGATTGTGGACCATACGATTGATTGATCCAATATAAGATGATTCTTCTTCTTCCACTACTCGATCGGCCACTGTATATAAATATATTGATCGATCTTTAAAGGTTCCGGCATTAAGCTAAGCAGTTATCACAGCTTTGCACCCACAAATGGGGCATCAATGCATCATCAAGCAGCATGCACCACAAATTAATAAACATACAATTCTCATTTTAGGGTATCAGCTTCAATTTCTCATTTTTTACCGTCTTCTCTTACCTTAGAATATCAATGTCACGGCTCACAATTTATAAACAAATTATTTGAGTACACAAAATCGACACATTTTTTAATACAGATAAGCTTTATCATGGTCTGATATCTACGTAAATTCCACTATATTAGAGTCCGTGTTAATAAACGTACTAGTTTTGTGTGTTTAAATAATCTGACCGATTATTTAACCACCAAAGAATAAGTGGGAAATATTTTGATGAGACTGGTGTGGGTATTATGATTTCTATGATGGTGGCTGTACGAACCCTCCACCAGCATCGTGCCTTGTGAACGTGCGGAACCCGTTAAGTGGGGGAGCAAGGCTTGGCCCATACGTTAAGATTCTTCAATGGTTCTACTCAATATTTTCATACATACTTTGCAAATTAGGCATTAAAAAAAGCTATTAGTACCTTTATTAGTTTGTACTTGATAATTTAGTTTATAGTGATTGCCACATTGCCTACTCTATAATTTAGAGAGAAAAACCTACTTAGATTTTGTTAAGATTTTAGGTAGACGAGTCAGTTGTCTACTACTAAATACATTGATATTGTATTAAATTTACGTCTTATTACTTGCACAATATGATAAGCGAGAGAGCATTTAGCGTAATTAGAATTAGAACCACTCAAGACAAATCCTATTAAAATTTATCAATTATGATTGCTTTTGACATAAAACAAAAGCATATTACCATGCACAATGAAATGAATAAAATAAAAAAAAAAAAAAAAAACTTTTGAAGATCCCCATTTCATTCATTAGACTGCGCAGATGGCAAGCATGAAAACGAACTTTCTTAAAAAAATAATTTAATTTAATCTCTGTTTTGTCGACATGCAAAAACAAAAAAGTGACCTACCAAGAAAATAAAATAAATAAATAAAATGTAAAAAGATCCTTCGTTCAAGGGAACACAAACACAATGAATCAATGATGCACAACAGAACAAACAACTTGAAATATTTCCTGTTTGATTCCATCTCAATACCGCCTGCTGAATCAACGGTCACTTTTGCTCCAACTCCCCCTGGCGGTCTCTCCTCCTCATCTTAACACTCCTCCTTTTCCTGCTCTGCTCTTTCTCTCTCTAAAGCTTTGAAATTTGATAGCTTTTGCGATTGGAATTTCAGAATCCAGATCCAAATTTGGATCGTTTGTCTGCTCAATTTTCTTGTTCAAGATCAAAACTTTGAGCACCAAAAACTGGTGAGTGAATAAAAAAACTGAGTTTATCTGTTTTTTTAAGCTTTAATTGATTGTTTTTTATTCAATTTCCACAATTTAAGGTGAAATAGTTGTTCTCTGTTTGGCTGGCGAGAAAATGGAGGAAAATTTGACTTGGGGGTTATCAACAGTCACAAATGGAGATATTTTCCACTGATAAAATATCTGATTTCAGATTCTCTTCCTTTTTGGGTTGTTCAGATCAGCATTACTCAAGTTCGAATAATATAGATTAACTTAGCGTAGAATATCGCTCGAATAAAATTAAAAGTTTTAAGATTTTCTTACAAATTTCCACATTTCAGCTTCCCTGAAGCGGAGGCTTGACTTGGAGTGGAACTTGAATTGAATTGAGCTCTAGTACTGCCAGTAATGGCGGTCGATGCGAGCTCAATTGCAACGGAATCAATGGGAATTCTGATGTCCTCTGACCACAAATCGGTGGTTTCTATGAACCTTTTCGTGGCGCTT